GACTCAGAGCTTAAGGGGGAGAGAGGATTAAAACAATAAGTCTTGTCCTTTCCAGGCTCAGCCTAGCCTCTGAGACTGTGCCTCCTGGGAAGCCACTACCTGCCCCAGAGAACTTTCTGGAAATGACCACAAGTACCTTCAGCCATTGCTTGAGAGACATCTCAGTATTGGTAGGGGCATGGGCCAAGGCCTTTTGATGGATGGTTGTTAGAGATTCACTTGTGTTCCCTGTCAACTCTGTGTTGTAAATCTCCCCTCAACTCCCGGGGTTATTAGCCCTTTGGGGAGTGGGCTGTCTTTGTTGTGTCCATGAGGCAGGATTAGGGTAGGGTGTATTTTGAGTTAATTAAAAGAGATTAAACAAGCAAGCTATGAAGCAGACCAACACACATACACACACACACACACACACACACACACACACACACACACCCTCCGAAAACACCAAACCAAATTGTCAAGTTGACTCTGATTCATAGTGACTGATCCAGGGTTTCCAAGTCTAAATCTGTATGGAAGCAGACAGCCTCATTTCTTTCCCTCAAATCAGCTGATGGGTTTGAACTGCTTAACCTATGGTAAGTAGCCCAACATCTAACCGCAGCGCTGCCAGCATGAATTTTGAATCAAAAGAGAGAAACAAGTAAGCTAGGGAGCGGAGACGGGGGAAGGCAGATGCCAGGACACCCGGCAAACCCCAGGGAGCCAGGAAACAGAAGCTGAGAGACAGGGCTCTTCCTCCAGAGCTGATGGAGAGATAAGGCCTCTCCCTAGAGCCAGCGCCCTGAACCCACACTTCCAGACTTCTCAGCTCTGAGAGCATACGCCCCCCCCTCCCCCAGGGGCTGCAGTTCTGTTATGGGGCCCTAAGAAATCGAGACAGGGCTTGCCTCGGTTCCGGTAACGTGCCTCTGGGTAAAGAACTGTTCAAACATTGGTCTAGACCAGGGGTTGGCAAACTTTTGAGACAGAAGGGCCAACCCTGTCCCTCACAAGAATTTAAAAGTCATTCGAGAGCCATAAATATAATTTACAAACAAGTGAAATCACCATGATCTGAGTCATATCTGTTAGCATTTCCCCCTTTTACTTCAGAGCCACACGCATGTACTGAGAGAGCAGCCTAGGGCTCTTGAGCCAGTTGACAGACCCCTGGTCTATATGGGTGACGGCAGTCCTTGGTGGGCTATGATAAGGTTGACTCCCTCAGCGGCCAACACAGAGGCTGGGGGTCTGAGAAGTGTCTGGAAGGGAAGGTGGGCTCTTGGGAGATCCGCTTCGGAAAGAGTATCCCTCTAAAGCCTGATGCGGTTGCCAGGAATCAGATCTGACTTGGCTGCAACTGTCGTTTGTTTTGTTTAAAATCCGTTCTTTAAATGAAGAGACGAGCATCAAAATCATAACCTTTTCTCTTGGTTGAGAAACCACAAAGTAGTGGTGGGCCAAGCCACAAACCCCTTCCTTAAAGCAGGCGAGGCACGCACTGCTCCCGAGGGAAGCCAGGACCCGAAGCTTGGAGGCCCAGTCAGCTGTGATGACATCCTCTGTAAAGAGAGAAACTGCCTTTAAAAAAAAAAA